CTGAATCTGTCCGCCTTCAAACAGTCCGTACACTTTTGGTCCCAATTTGCTGTCGGACACCATTAGAGCGATCACAACATCAGTCAGTCTCTCATTCCCACCACAATCTTGATTATTAAAATATTTCGGTCCATACAGTCTTACAGCCACTTCTTGTGGTACATCTGCCGACTCCATTGATGGACTGGTTATCCCGCAGTAATACAACTGATTAGTCATACCTCCCGACACTCGCGTCACTTGAATGGTATCCAGTGTTTGTTGCGTCCAATTGCCGGATAAGTATTGTTTGCATAGTTCAAGACATCTCTCTTTGATATCCGGTGGTGTCTCACCTTTGATCAGATCTATATCATCCAAATTAAGTCCTTCCAGAGTTGTCAAGTCTTTAAAAGTTTTCTTAGGTTTAGAATTATTTTCAGTTTCGTTAGACATTTGTTCGGTTTTTGTTTCCATGATTTGCTTCTCTAAACGCAGAATAATATCAAACAAATGAATGAATCAAACAAATTATGATATTTTCAATGTAATTGCTTTATATGGAAATAAAACTTCTAAATTTATTTAATGAATACATAGATTAATCTCAAGGATGTAATGAAATAATCAGTTGAGTTGAAGGACAGACGCATACAATTGATGTCAAATATAAAAATAAAATAATATATTTTTAATAATCGTCAATTCATGTAACAGTCAATCCTCATTATTATTACATAATAAGATTATATAAATTACCAGCAATTTAATAGATTTATAAACTGTGAAATTATGTAATCACCATTGTGTTTATTTACAATTTATAGTTTTATTTTAATTTCACATTAACTTAAATTAGTATAATATTTTTTAATTAAATAAATTTAAAACCAAATTATACAAGCAAATTACTTATTTTAAGTAGATTTAATTACTAAAGATTTAATATATTTAAATAAGTTTGTTAGTAATTTCTAGTGTACTTTAGTGAACCATAAAATACCTTTAATTGCGATAATTAATAATTAGTTAATTTTGTATTTTATCAATTCACACGACACAATCGCATTGAATTCTTATGCAATATCTATATTGCTCATTATATCTACATTACACAACAAATTCAACAGTAATAAATATAACAACTTTTTATTTCAATAACATGTGAGTACTTTGGGGACTTTTTATATTTATTCACTAAAATGTATGTTATTGTGGTAATGAAATCGGATTTATTAATTATAAATTTCAAGTTTGAACAGCTTTACTGATATTAGCAATTTTTTGTCAATTTTGCCTAGACTTTTTATCAATTAATATTGAATCCTTTTAATAAAGTAGTTTAACTTTAACATTAGTCACTATTTTAATAGAGTATAAAAGTTAGCAGGTTAATTGTACTCGTTTATCTTATTTCTTTAAATTTTTCTTTAATTAAATTTCAAAAAATTGGATTTTTTAGTACAGTATTTTGAAATCCATTTATTTTTAAAACATTTAATAACATTATTATTCTGTGATATAATTTAATTTAAATATTTATTATAACATAAAAACTTTTTATTAAAAAGCTAATGTAAATTATTGGATAATTAATGATTGAATTAAAAATTTTAAATTATTATGAAAAGATACGTTATTTTTAACATAATAAGTTGATTAATCATAATAAAATAAGATATAAAATTATTGAAGTAAGAATTGAAAATTAAAATGATCTCGTTGTAATTAGATGGTAGTGAGACTTGAAAATACTTTGTCTGCAATGAACCTGTGTTTGAGGTGATAATAGTTCTTGTAGAACATCTCAACATAGGGCTACAATCATAAGACAAACCAGTGTTAGAAACGTTGAAAATATAGCAATTTCTATCATACATACCATGGTTGCTTTCTTATCAAAAGGGATTTCTTTGATAACTGATTCCTTAGCCTTAATTGACATTAAGATCATAAACATATTGGAAACCAACGTAAATATTTTGCCCTCTTTTAAGATGTGCGAGAATGTGTTTCTCTTGTCTGAGCTGAATGCCTTTCCCAATAATTTTGTGGACTCTTTCATGTATTCATCAATGAATGGCTTAAATGCTGAGTCTTCGGGAAATTCAAATTGCTTCATAATATCAGCCAATTCTCGGCCCCATTCAGCAAATTTAGTGCCGAAATCGTAGCCACGGTTCCCATTGCATGAGTACTCGAAATCACAGACAACTATCCCATCATTTTCTGTGACCATTATATTAGAGCCCCTGAAGTCTATGTGAGTGAAAGTTATGGGGGAATCGATTTCAGTGATCACTTTCTTAAGCCATTCCAACTCGTCTTTCAAGTCATGTCTAAGCAATGTCTCACAATTTGTCTCTCTATACAATGCCTTTAAGTCAAACAGTTTGTAGGCGTCGTCGTATGAGTTGTCGAAAAAGTCGAAAATCCAATTCGAGTTCTTCTTTATGGGAACCACTGTCGAGTGAATTCTCGCCAACTTTTGAGCCAATTCTTGCACTAATTTTGGATCATTAGTTTCAGCCGTACGAAAGCATTGGTGCTATAGTTAGGAAAAAAATTTATCACTAAAAATTATAATTAAAGTTAAATAAATTCATTAAATACTTGATAATATTTCTGGATTTGTCCGCTTTCGAAGAGACCGTATATTTTTGGTCCCAAATTCTTCTCAGACATAATGAGAGCTATAATAACATCTGTAAGTCTCTCATTGCCCTCGTGATCAGTATTATTGAAATGCTTTTCCAAATACAATCTGATGGCCACCTCTTTTGGTTCAGTTGTCACCAGTTTTCTATGGTCTTCATTGAGAGCACAATAGTATAACTGATTGGTGAGACCACCGCATATTATTGAAATGCTTTTCCAAATACAATCTGATGGCCACCTCTTTTGGTTCAGTTGTTACCAGTTTTCTATGGTCTTCATTGAGAGCACAATAGTATAACTGATTCGTGAGACCACCGCTCAGTCGTTTCACTTCAATGTCATCGATGTTAACCTGGAGCCAAACGCCACCCAAATAGTCCTGACACAAGTTATAACACCTTTTCTTGATATCATGAGGAGTGTCGCCCCTCTCCAGTGTTAGTGAACTAAAATCAAATTCTTCTGGATTTTCGGAAAATTCAAACTTTTTATTGTTATTATTATTGTCTGTCATTTTAGTTTCGGTACTCATTATTCCTCAAAAATACTGCATATACTTTGAAAACTTGATTAAACTAACAATTCTATTCTCTATTTATACAAATTGATTGTATAGAATACAGAAATATAGTAAACGCCTACAAGCTATCAATCAAATAATTACTGATACATTGATATCTCGTGTTTAAGTACATTCTGGTCGTTTAGGTTTATCTACTGACTGCCACTTCATCTGTACTTAATGAACTAGTACAGTACTCACATACTTTCAAGCATTTAAATATTTAATATTATAAGGCTATATACAATTAGTTAAGTTTGTTTAAATTGTACTTATAAAATAATATAATATTTATTAACTCAATAAATATTTCTACCGTATCTCTAACAAAGATAATCTAGGCTCTATTTCTGTTCTAAATTCTTAAATAATTGAATAGATCCCTTAATATAAATCCACATTTTGTCAATAATATTTACCAAATATCATAATTTACAGATTGACAGGGAGATTTTATAATTATAAATTAAAACTCATATTAAAGATAACCTTTATTAATTATCTACAATTGATTGCATTCAAATGGGACGGGTTTAACATATATCAAATACTGAATTATTTTTGAGTAATAAACAAAATAAAAGTAATAAGAAAGCTTACACATTTTATATTACTGTTAATAAAGTTTATTTTATAATTGTATTTTATTAAATTATAATATATGTATATGTAATATAGATTATATCAATTATATAACAATTAGTTAATCGCATTAATTATAAAAGTTTAATCAAAATACTTTGTCCGCAATAAACCTATCTTTGAGATAATAGTAGTTCCTATACATGAGGTCACTATAGGGCTGAAACGAAATAAACAAATATTATTAGAAATTTTAAAACAAATTTAACATTTTCCCACATAATATTGTATGTATTACATACCATTGCCTCCTTTTTATCAAACGGGACGTCTTTGACAAATGAATCGTTGTTCTTAAGTGATAATAGGACCATGAACATATTGGAAACCAATGTAAATATTTTGCCCTCTTTTAAGATGTGCGAGAATGTGTTTCTCTTGTCTGAGCTGAATGCCTTTCCCAATAATTTTGTGGACTCTTTGATGTATTCATCAATGAATGGCTTAAATGCCGAGTCTTCGGGAAATTCAAATTGCTTCATAACATCAGCCAATTCTCGGCCCCATTCAGCAAATTTAGTGCCAAAATCGTAGCCACGGTTCCCATTGCATGAGTACTCGAAGTCACAGACAACTATTCCATCATTTTCTGTGATCATTATATTAGAGCCCCTGAAGTCTATGTGAGTGAAAGTTATGGGGGAATCGATTTTAGTGATCACTTTCTTAAGCCATTGCAACTCTTCTTTCAAATCATGTCTAAGCAATGTCTCACAATTGGTCTCTCTATACAATGCCTTTAAATCAAACAGTTTGTAGGCGTCGTCGTATGAGTTGTCGAAAAAGTCGAAAATCCAATTCGAGTTCTTCTTTATGGGAACCACTGTCGAGTGAATTCTCGCCAACTTTTGAGCCAATTCTTGTACAAGTTTTAAGTCATTGTGTTGTTCCGTACGAAAGCATTTGTGCTAGTTAGGAACAAAAATTTTTTATTCAAAATTATAATTAAAGTTAAATAAATTCATTAAATACTTGATAATATTTCTGGATTTGTCCGCTTTCAAAGAGTCCGTATATTTTTGGTCCCAAATTCTTCTCAGACATAATGAGAGCTATAATAACATCTGTAAGTCTCTCATTGCCCTCGTGATCAGTATNTTTCAAAGAGTCCGTATATTTTTGGTCCCAAATTCTTCTCAGACATAATGAGAGCTATAATAACATCTGTAAGTCTCTCATTGCCCTCGTGATCAGTATTATTGAAATGCTTTTCCAAATACAATCTTATGGCCACCTCTTTTGGTTCAGTTGTCACCAGTTTTCTATGGTCTTCATTGAGAGCACAATAGTATAACTGATTGGTGAGACCACCGCTCAGTCGCTTGACTTCGATGTCATCGATGTTCACCCGACGCCATACGCCTCCCAAATAGTCGTGACACAAGTCAAAACACCTTTCTTTAATATCTTGAGGAGTGTCGCCCCTCTCCAGTGTAAGTGAACTAAAATCAAAGTCTTCAGGATTTTCGGGATATTCAAAATGTTTATTGTTATTCTCGTCACCCATTTTAGTTTCGGTACTCATTATTCCTATACTTTAGAAAATTGAACACTTTTCTGTCAATTAGAAATTTAAATAAAAAAGTTTATTCAGTATTTATACAGAAGGGTAATTCAGTGTAAATGATTTTCTGGCGGTGCTTTAATCAGACATACGTTTTCTGATTAGTCTATCAATTATCTCGTGTTTGAGTGCGTTCTGGTCGCATAGGTTTAAACACAGGCTGTCACCTCATCTGTATTTAATGAATAAATCAATTATTTTCAAGGATTTGTTTAAATATTTACAATTATATATTAAGCTGAAGGATACTTATATTGATTTCTGTAAGAAAATGCGGATTGATTTTGTTTAAGAATATTCACTATATTAAATAAATGAAATTAATGTAAAATATTTTTATACATTGATACATTGATTTATAATTGTAATGTATCATATTAATATGTTGATTACTTCTTTAATATCTTAATTCCTGTGCAGATTGTACTGTAATTATATTGAATTTTACACATCAATCAGTGCATTGACAAACAATTTTGAAAATATAAAAATATTCTATAATTATTAAAAATTTATACAATCTAACATGTTTGTGATTATTTTATTAAATAATAAATTCCTAAGGTCTCTTATATATAAATTTATTTTGTATTATTTTTCATAAAAGACTAATAAATGAAAATAAGTTTGGCACTTTAAAACTTTAAATATAAGCTTCTGAATTGTTAAAAGTAATTTATTTGTTTATAATTTATTATTCTAAAAATATTGTTTACAGTAAATAAAATTCTTTGCTTTATTTAAATGACTACGGTAATAAACACATGATAAATATTTTATTTAAAATTTTAAAATATTCATCAATACAGAATTTTTATGCCATTTTTATATTATAATTAATTGTCAATGTTCTTGAAAGTATAATTACACTCAAAATATCTATTAAATTAATTACATTCTATGAATTTAATGTTAATATACTTTTATTTTTATAGTTTCCAAGAATCAAACAAAAAAAATATCAAAATAAAACAAAGAAACAATAATTGTAGTCAATATGACAATAATAAATAAATATTAACAAGACATTGACTTTACTATAAAATTTGATTTGTCATGAAATAAATTATATTTATTATTTATTGAATACTGAAAGTAATTTGACGGAATTCGTTAAAAAACCTTATTAGAAATAAATTGATTTTTAAGGTAATAATAATTTTTGTAAAACAAATCGCAAGCCTCCTGTGAAAATAAAATACAGAATTAATAATTTTAAAAATAGCAAGCTAAATACAATACTAAATACAATAATACCATTGCTTTCTTTTTATCAAAAGGCATTCCCACAACAATAGCCTCATTTGCCTTATAAATCATTAATACGAAAAACATATTGGAAACCAAATTAAATATTTTGCCCTCTTTTAGGATGTGGTCGAAGGAATTCCTCTTGTCTTCACTGAATTGCTTTCCCAACAAATTCATTGATTCATTGATATACGAGTCGATAAAGGGCTTGAATGTTGAGTCCGAGGGAAAGTCCTGTGGTTTTGGTATATCAGCCAATCCTTTGCCCCATTCGGCAAATATGGTGCCGATATCATAGCCCCTGTAGTCATAACAGGCGTATTCAAAGTCGCAAAGTACTATTCCGTTGCTTTCGGTGATCATTATATTGGATCCCCTGAAGTCCACGTGAGTGAAAGTAATCGGAGAATCAGTTTTGGTGATCAAGTCTTTAAGCCAATCGACCTCTGCCTTCAAGTCATACATCTTCAATGTCTCGCAATTGCATTCATTGATCAATGCTTTCATGTCATAGTTTTTGTTGGCTGAGCCATAAAATGCATCGAAAGTCTCAAAAATCCAATTCCCGGTCCGTTTTATTGGCACATCTAAGGCATGGATTTTTGCCAACTTTTTGGCCAATTCTTTGACTAACTTTTCATCTTTTTGTTCGTCTTTACGAAAACTTTTGTGCTTTTGGTTTAAATAATAAATAATTACTAAAAAAATTATTAAATCAGAAATTATTTAATGAAATACTTTATAATATTTGAGAATCTGTCCGCTTTCGAAGAGTCCATATATTTTTGGACCCAAATTATGCTCAGAAACCAGTAGTGAGACAATAGTATCACTTAGCCTTTCATTGACTTGTTTATCATAATTATTAAAATGTTTGCCGCCATATAATCTAATGGCAACCTCTTGTGGTACTTCTTCATCAGTATTTCTATGGTCTTCATTGAGAGCACAATAGTATAACTGATTCGTGAGACCACCGCTCAATCGCTTTACTTCGATATCATCGATGGTTACGTTGAGCCAAACGTCTCCCAAATAGTGACGACACAAATCAAAACATCTATCTTTGATATTGTCAGGTGTCTGACCCCTCTCCCACTTGATTGAAGAGAAATCGGTATTAATTTCTTTTGGTTCAGTCATTCCTACACTTTTTTACATGAATTCAATAATTTCTATAAATTCTAGCGTTTGAATGAAGTGTATTCTTTATATATTATATTAGGTTATATTCTTGTAATCAAAAGTACATTTATTATATTGATATAATACTAAACGTTTTGACTCATTTCGTTATGTAATCGTTAGAAGGTTATCACAAATATTTTATTTTCAATTACTATTATAATAGTAAACAGGATTAGCTTTAGATAAAAAACTCAATTTATTGGGTAATTATATGATTGTTTACGTCAATATAATTAATGCTTTCTTAATTCACTGTACAGTATTATCAAAGAAGATGTTTCAAAGTACATAGCATTTAGTACATTAAGTTAATGTCGCATAAAGTGTGATGTTAAAATCAGCTACGATTACATTTTATAACCAATAAAGACAATTTTGATATAACTAATGTTTTGTAAAAATTATTTCATTTTAAATGTTTTTGAGATGAAATATTTATTGCATTCATTAGACTATATTAAATCATTTAATATGTTATAAATTATATAAAATTTAATTGAAATACTTTACAATCAACACATTAAAACAATAAATTCATAAACTGTTTTCTTTATTATAAATAAATCTCACTGTTTTCAATGAACTGTTTTTTAAGTTTATGATAATTTTTATACCAACTCTCGGTTCCGGCCTAAAAATCAAGTAAAAATTCAAATAAATATCTAAACATAATATAAAATTCATTGATACTAACCATTGATACCATTTTATCAAACGGCAAATCAGACTTCCACTCATTAAAAGACAAATAATATAAGACATAAAACAAATAGTAAACTAACGTAAAAACTTTCACTTCTCTTAACATGCTTTCAACCGAATTTCGTTTGTCTTTTAGAAACTCATTTCCATTGAGTTTAACCGACTCTTCAATATATGGTTCAATCAATTGTCTGAGAGTGTGATCGTCGGGAAACTCATGAGGTTTACGTATTTCACACCTATTTCTTCGCCAAACCAATAAAAGGGAACCGAAATCATAGCCACGATAACCACGACATGAGTACTCGTAATCGCAAACCACTATATCATTGGATTTGGTGACCATAATATTATTCTCACTGAAGTCGTTGTGAGCAAAAGTCACCGGGGAATCAGTTGCTAGTATAAGCTCTTTCATCCATTGTATCTCTTCACTCAAATCATGTGTTTTCAAAGTTTCCAAATCGTATTCATTAAACATTGAGTTTAAGTCAAACCTCTGTTTAGATAAGTGAAAGAAGTGGTCGTATGAGTCGACTATCCAATTGTGGCTCAACTTTAGGGGCACTTCCAGGCTATGAATTGCCGCCAATTTGTGGGCCAACTTCGTCACCATCTGGACGTCTCTTTCATCTTCGCTGGAAAACACTCTATGCTTTTTTTGAACATAATTTTAATTATTAATAAAACATCAAAATTTTAAAATACTTGATAGTAAGCCATGATTTGTCCGCTTTCGAAGAGACCGTATATTTTTGGTCCCAAATTCTTATGGGAAGTAATGAGTGCTATAATAGTATCGCTGAGTCTTTCGCTCTTATCATTGGTGTCATAGTTATTGAAGTATTTCTTTTGATACAATCTGATGGCCACCTCTTGGGGTTCAGTTGTCACCAGTTTTCGGTGCTCTTCATTGAGACCGCAATAGTATAACTGATTCGTGAGACCACCGCTCAGTATCTTAACTTCGATGTCATCAGTGGTTAACTTATGCCAAATGCCACCCAAATAATCAGCGCATAGTTGTAGACATTTCTGGTTAATATCGTCAGGTGTTGTTCCCCTTTGCCATACTTTTCCACTCATTTTACCCTGATCACTTGTATTTAATTAATGGCGTATGTGATTATTTATAATATAATATTATATTAGGTTCACTCTAATGGCAATCTCTGAATAAATAATATTTATAAATAGTATACATTTAACACAAACATTAATTCATAACTTTCAAGGTTTTAAATTGTCGTGTGAAACGTATTGCATTTATGGTACAAATAATCAGTAATGGATTAGTGTTACCAGATGTACCAGGTGATAACTTAGCCACTGGAAGTATGACCGATTGATTCTCTTATACCCATTTCACTGTTGAATAAGATTTAGAAGTTTGATAATAAAGTCTTTTAAAAGTTTATTTAAAAAAAGTAAAATAAATGTACTTTTTTTCAGATGCTGTGGGCCATAAGGGTCCACCAGAGGGAGGGTTCATGATTGGCCCGAGCTGCGACGAATTGAAGCCCCTAGCTTGCTCTTGGCCACGAAAGTCGCACTATACCGGCATCTGTTGAGCATACACTTCCCCACTGCACCCATTCGTATGCTTTTCATAGAAAGGTTATAAACAGTTAACGCATGCTTATAAACACTAGCATTGAAAACATACGAATGGGTGCAGTGGGGAAGTGTATGTCAATGTCTACGGCCATATCACGCTGAAAGCACCGGTTCTCGTTCGATCCCCGAAGTTAAGCAGCGTCGAGCCCGGTTAGTACTTGGGAGGGAGACCACCTGGGAATACCGGGTGTCGTAGACTTTTTTG